CTCTTTATTCCAAGGTCTATAACAATAATATGGCACAATAGCACAGAAAATAAGATTGCAGTGACCCATGATTGCTGACCAGCAAGGACTTTCTAGCAAAACCAGATTTGTCATCAATTTATACACATTTCCACATAGACGAACTAACATTAGCTGACTATTAGCATTTAGGCATGAAGTTCAGTCTTCCCCAGAAGCACTCCTCTCTCTCATGTGTCCTTGTGACTGTTCTTACAGCTCCTTTCATGTGAGATTGCTTAAGGGAACTCTAACAATGACTTGACTATCAGAGACCTGTTCTGTAGCCCTCATTTACTAAGTAACGTAAAGACAATTGTGGCTTTGTAGCATTACACTTGCACGCACAATACACCGGCAAGAATTAATTCCATGGCTGTGACAACACTTACAAAAGTCACTTCTGAAAGTCAAAGAATAATTTATGAAACGGTAACCCCTGATGGCATGCACTTTAGAGGTCAAAACCCAGCACCCAACCAATTGGAAGAGGAGTAGGTGAGGAGGGGGGTTATGCCACAAAGAAATAATTGAACATGCAAAGAGGCTCATTAACATACAATGCCTGTCTCTGGTTTAAATGAATTTCACAGCATGAGGTCTGCCATATGCTAACAGACTGACATACTTTTTAAAATACGTGTGGCTGATTCTGGCTGTACAATTACACGTGTCCCCAGTTTTTGCTTACTCTGTCATTTGGAACTGCTTAGTATAAGAATACCTTATCCTGTGAAACGAAAAATCTGAGAGTGGTCATAACATAATAATCACCTGATGAAATAAAAGATTTGATAAAGGGATTGCTGCTGTTTTGAGGAGTCTATTTCTGTACTTATGTAAGACAGATAGGGCTCTGCATTTCGTAAGATAATTCTACAGTGGTTATTCCAAAAAAATATAAATGCCTTTCCCTATTCTTAAGTGACATCTAGACAGAGAACGTGTGTCAAATGGCAACAATCAGCTACGACTGAAGCAAATCACACTACCTCTCTATTTCAAGAAGGAAGAGAAGAGCAGATATGAAGATGCAGCCTTGAGGGCCCACAGCTTCTCCAGTTTCAAGATGAAGTTACTTCTTTCAGCAGGTGACAAGCAGCAAAGGATTATTTATCCAATCCCTATGGATCTGTAATGTCTAAAGACAGCTGCTATTTATTTCCGACTGGAAAGGGAGATTTGTGTGTTGCCTTCTCACCTTCAATCTTCAGCATTAACCTATTTCTCTCTATTACTTTTAAGCATCTCTTTATTAAAACAAGCATAAAGAGTATTAAATTCCAGCAACACAATCATAATAGAAGCAAAGACCTTTAATCCTGCAAATATCAGGATGTGCATCATGCTATTAACCTGAACAGCAGCTCAATAGGAATAATCACATTAGTAATATTACCCAAATGTTGTAGAACAAAGCCCATAGGGACCACAACAGGAATAATACCATTTTATACCACTGGAATCTTTGACTAGATAATACTTTTTATTTCTCAGTTTCTAACCCAGTTCTTCACTAAAAACTTACTGTCATGCTTCCAAAAATCTCATCCATGTTCCACTGGGACCTTCCCCAGTTTCCACTGCCTTGCAACACTCCACGCAATTACAGAAGAACAAAGACCATGCAGCACTTCGGCTGGTCAAAGGATGTAGAATGCTTTTCAGTCTGGTCCCAAAGAGATCCCACCACAGATCAGTGAAGAACTTCCATTTTGTTGTTTCTTCTTCATCTACACTCCCGGGCCTTTGCTGTTTTATGGATATTGGTAGCACGTACACCCCCTCTCCTGGTCTCTGGACCAGTCTAATCTTGGAAGGAAAAAACAAAATGCTTACAAAAGGCATAACACCATGACACTTTCTCCTCTGAGGGAAGCAGATGCAGGGCAGAGGTGAAGGGAATAACTAGTCTTGTCAAGACACCCAGAAGAATTTAGTCCCAACCACGAGACTAAAGAAAACAGCAAGGTGACAAGTAGGTTCTGTTACTGATTGCCACAGCTCTGGATCAGGGGCAGGGACAAGCTAGGCCTGGACACGGTGACTCAACCAAGGCCCAGCAGTATGAGGCTATTTTCACTCTGATGTGTGTGCAAACAAGACAAAAGGACCACTTTGAAAGCAGGAACTTCCAGCCCTCTTGAGTACCGTAAGAGATGCTGAAGTTGGGGACAGATCTCACCCAGCTGCTGGCACAGACTGGCCAGTGTGATAGCTGGCTGAGCTTGAAAGCAGGATTTTGCCACATGCCAAAACATCAAAGGACTGTTTTCTACTACGGCTTTCAATCCATCCGCCTCCATAATTTTGCAGGGATGCACACAGACTGTGTACAAACTCTGCCACCTGGTTGCATGTAGGCGGATGAAGCCTTCTCCCCCAAGTCTGTACACCCACAAGTTTGCACATCCACTGGGAACACGAAGGGAATAAGAAATCTGGCCTAAATGTTTTGCTGCAGCTATTTCGGCTCACAATCATACAAACAGTAAGACAGAGTAAGTTCCTCTCAAAGTTTTGTCCAGTAACAATAAATTGGGCACAACATATCTACATACTTACTCTGAACTAATGACAACCTGGGGCAAGCTTCCAGGTAGCGAGCATGGTCATTGCATACATACAGCCATTATAAAAGTGCACTAAAAAGTCTTTCTGGTCACACTTCCCGCTTTCCCAAGCAAAACCTTCCTAAATCTCTGTCAGAGAAGCAGCTAAGTATGTTACAAAAGATACTGAATACTACACACACTGAATACTGCACACGAACACAGTTTCTGGGGTTTTTTAATATTAAAAAAATGTCTAGAAGTTCCCACCCGACAAACTTAGGCCACATGTTTGATACATGGTTCTCCTTGACAATTCTGTTCCACACTTGCTCCGCAATATATACAAGAGAGCAGGAAGAGATGAATTATTACTGAGTGGCTAAAAATACCACCTCATTTTGAAAACCAGTCAACGTCAGATATTAAAACTAAAATGAGGCTTTAAATGCTGTAACCATGGGTTAAATATTTCAGAGGTGGAGATTCAGCTTGGCTGTCTAACAAGGCAGATTCAAAATTAATATCCAAGGTAAGTCATCTTTATTATGAATGTATTGATTTAATCTGATTATTGGGCAGCTCTGTGTAGACATTTGCAACAATTTTTATATTTTACTTATTATTCAAACGGAGAAGTCACAAGAGCAGATTCTATCAAGATAAAAAGAATCCACTAAGTACAGATGCAACTGACAGAAACGTTTCAGGCTCAGAAACATTTTAACTCGGATCTGTCCAGTGTCATTATGGACTCATAAATCCTTGTAGCATGTAAGGACCAAGAATCACATTTCTTAAGTGTTGTTTTTCTTCCCTTTTCTCTCCCCAGAAGTCAGTTCAAGGCTAAGCCTTCACGCTTTAGGATGTTGGGAACCTCAAAGGAAATATAAGCAACTATGGCAATTTCAGGAAGTTTAAAGTAGTATAATGCTAACAACAGCTGGAAGTGGCAATGCTCAGAAGGTAGACAAGGCATGAGTTGGCTCCAGGGGCTCTGGTTACAGCACCGGCGTGCCTTCACACTGTGACCTTAACGTAGGGACTGAGGTGCTAGAAGCAGCATACCTACCAAAAGCTTGCCTATAGATACAGTTTTTTCAGTCTTTTCTAAGAGCCCCAGTACTGCTCTAACCCTTTCAGCATAAAGAAGGCAAGAGCAAGAATATTATCCTCAGCAGCATGTTTATCAATGCCTCTAATTCAATAATCTCAAAGTATCATGTAAAATATCGAAAATACTCCCCTTTTTACCCCATTGACTATTTACTATAAAGATGACACAGTTTAGTTGTTAAATCCAGAATTCAAGTGATGAAAATGCCTCATATTTTGACAGTTCTTTCAAATACAAAAGCATTGCTGTGATGTGACGTGCTGGGCCAGTAGTGGACACAGCATCACTTACTAGTAGTTGAACAGAAAGCCGCCAAAGGGGCTAGTTTTAGAGCAAAATACCTGTGTTGGAAAGCAAGGAGGGCAGAAGAGTGGCTATTATAGAAAATACTCACTTCAGAAGTTATAGTCAACAAGTAGGAGAATAAAATTTACCTGAACACCTAACACAAGACATCTGGTACTATATGCTGTTTGCAGGTGAGATAATGCATGATATGAACATGAAACTCTTAATGCTTTCAGAAGACTGAAATTCAGTTTCAGAAGCATCAGTTCTCAATCCTCTAAGATCAGTGATGTGACAGCATAAAACTCTAAATTATTCTCACTACGTTCATACAGGCAATTAACTGTCGCTTAACAGCTACCATCTTTCACTCTCCTATCTTGTAGCCTGCAAATAATTTTGACAAGCCGATCCTTACAAAGCTACAAGTAGGAAAGGATGAGACTGTTTTTTGAGCGTTTTGCAGTGAGGTAAATTTGTTATTTCTGACATACCCCCTACTTATTTTACTTCAAACAGCCCATAAAATTGGGCTTCCTACTCAGTTTCCAAACATTAAAAGCCTGAAGTGATTTGAAAGTCAAGAGAAGATAAGAGTCAGGCCTTTAAAGAGAACAATGAAGTTATTCCAGAACAACTACCTTCAGCTTGCCATTAAGAATCTTGCATATAAAAGATCATTGCTGTAAAGCCATTGCAGATCTAATCTTCCCCTTATACACACTTGCTGATAATTGCTGGAGAGGAACTGCATTTACCTTGTTCTAACATACAGACTGTGCACTATCTAGAAACTACTCATAACTTTAATCTGCCAGAGGCTACCAGGGAGAGTCTGATGCTTTGATACCAGGACAACAGGCAGACATTAAAATTTACATTTCTCCTGCTATTGCATATTTGAATGTTGCCTCCCTTCTGTGGGCCCCTTGTCTCACTAACCTCACATTCTGCCCCTTCCTACTAGTTCTGTACATTTAACCAGCAGGAGTGCTCGTGAACTCCAGCCACACAAATACATTGGAAGCTTACAGTAACAGGTTAGAGCTCAAAACCAAAGCCAAGAAAGGGACCTAGGTAGTGTCATTTTGATATACAGCAGTGATTTGTGTGCCAAGGAGTAACTGATAATCATTACTTTCATTAAACAAGCTACACTGACACTACTATATTCTTTCTACTCTCCCTGAACGCATTCAGTAAGTTTTGACATTCCCTTTTTCCCATCACTGTAACACTCATCAGTGGCAGTACCACAATTAGATCAAGGGAGCTTCTGAAATTCTTTTATTAGGTTTCAACATCTAACATTTGTATGGAAACAAGCGGCTAAGCCAGAGATAGATTTTGCTCTTGGATCTGCAAGGTCACCTGAATTTCCACTTGCACAACAATACAATTCAGCTGCTGGCTCCTAAACCTGGTATATGGAGCAACACTGCTTTGGGAGCCTGACCTTAGCTGCTGGAGGTTTGGCACCCAACATACTTACCTTAAGTAGAGGCATGGCAGCTCGGCAACGTGCAGTTTTTATGTTCTTTAAGAAATGAGATTCATCCTGAAACAAAACAAGCATGAAAGTGAAAACAGTTCTGATCCATGGTCCAACTGCAGGCTACAGAACAAATTCCCAGTATTCTCAGCTATCTAATATTACAAGCCTATCATCCCAGAGGATATTTCAAGCACTGGGATAGTCACATCAAATTCTAAATAAAAAGATAGCCTGGAGAGTGGAAGGCTTCCTACATTCAAACTTGCAGCTGCAAGCAAATGGAACAGAAATCAGACCTTAAAGCCATGAATCTCAAACGACCACAAAGAAGTGAGCAGAGGGGGCTGGAGAGGGAAGGAGAAAGAGGAACATTATTTCCACCACTGATACTCATTTGTCCCTATGTGTCCTCTAAATGCAGCAAACACAGGAGGCCTATACAGTGCCACTTCCCTAAATAAGGGGTTAATGAAAACAATAAGGAAAAAATAAATCTAATTAGGATCCAACTGTTCAGCTGATAGGGCTCACCAGGTAGATAATAGCCTCCTACTTGAGACATCACCCCCAAACAGGCTACATTTCTACTGCTGTGGCAAGGCAGAACTTAGACACAAAAAAGTAATCAGCGCCCTCCAAGGGTAGTACATTCTCATCTTTCCACGTGTGGATGAGCAAGCAACGATGCATGCAAAGACAATACAACTGCTTCGCCTCTCAGGCACAGCCTTCTCCCTCCTGATTAACAAATAAGCTACATTAATGTTCCCAGCCATCAAAAGAAGATTGGAAGAATAAGCACGGAAGCTCAGCACTCAGTAAGACTACTCTCATCTGTGAAAACATATACAGTGTCCAAATTTGAACATATAAACACACAGAAAGAACATCTGCCAGCTCAAGGCTGGTAAAAGGTTTCAGGGCGGCAGCCCTAGAGTCAAGTCCCTTTACCCTAAGCACCAGCATACAAAAGTAACAATCTGCATTTCCACCCTGACAGAATGTCTCGACAGAGAGGAGGCAGGGGAAAAAAATGAAAATAAATCAATTCCCCCATGAGTAGTTTGGTCTCCAAAGAACTGTTCCCACATTGCCATCTGATGCTGAGACACAAAAGGATTATTATATTCCAGTTGTCATGATCTTAAAGACAGGTGAGTATGTGTGATGGAAACTAGACTGAGAACATCAAACACTCATAGTAAGCCATGTAGACACTTCTGGTCTCTATTGATCCAAGCTGGATCTGAAACGCTAGAGGTTTTTAGTAACTGAAATCTAGAAAAATGCCTTTCACCATGGCTCTGTATAAGGTTAAAAAATAGATTTCAAAGTAATTTACAAAAGAGATTACACAAGTGATGAAAGAAAGCTTATTGCAGACTGTCAGTGGAACACAAGCAAAGGGAGACTTTTTTAATGCTTGACCGACATGATGTTGAGAGGTTATCTTGTTTACTAGATAAACACTAACACCACCCTGACGTCCAATCCCCTTAAAAAGATACAATTCCAAGACTATTGTATTGACACATTAAATACCTTGCTCTCCAGCAGAGGACATGCCCAACCATAATGAAATCAGAGAGTCACCATAACCAGTAAAAGAGAAAATACAGCCTTAGGAATCAAAAAGGAATTAAACTGTACTAGTTATCTCAACAGGTTTCAGAGAAAACTCCTACTTCTACTCATGAGGAGAGCTGTGATCACAGCCACAATTACAAGGTAGTTTCAGTCCTAAATAAGGCCCACTTCACAGCATACAACACAAAAATTATCCCATTCGCAGCATCCAATTAACTTCAAATGTTAGTATACCACTTACAATAATAACTACTTGGAATGTGCTGTTAAGTTGCTTGTCCATCTTGCTGAGGAGGTCAAAGCTGATGATGTTGATCAAGCTTGCTGTTAGGTTGTCTTTACCAGTCACTATGACATTGGTGCTACCTGGACTCAAGGACGGAAGCCACCTGTGAAATGCCTGGAGGAAGAGGAAAGCAATTAATTGCATTCTGCTGCTTATGTCCTCTGTCAGGACTCCAAAGCACTTCACAACGCATTCTCATGAATGCTTAGAACATGGAGCTACCCCACGCTCCAGCAGACATCAGCTGAGAGCACAGCAAGAGTAAGGAGTCTTCCCAAAGTAATCACCCTAGTAATGGGAAGATGAAGAATGGAACTCAGGCTATAACGCCAAATCTACCTTCCACAGCTAGGAGGGCTCAAACAAGCTCTATTCTGGCTTCTTACTGAAAAAAAAAATCAAAAACAACAACAACAACAAAAAAAAAACCAATGCTTCTTACTGAAAAAAAAATCAAAAACAACAACAACAAAAAAACCACAAACAAAACAAAAAACAATCCAAAACCTGATCTGTAATAATGTGCATACAATATTACCTGCTATGCTCAGAGTCAGAGAATGCAGTGACGACTACTGACAGAAATTTAGTTTTCCCACTCAATAGGAAACCTCAGGCTGTGAAACTCAGACTTCTAAGCAGTAAACATCCCTCACAATAGCAATGTTTAACTCCACAGTGAGGATTAAGTACAACTCACTCAGATCAACAAAAACTCTTCCACTACCTCTCCTTGTTAAAAAGTCTACGAAAAATATCCCAAACAACCAAACAAAATGAAAGGATCAAGTTGACAACAGACCAGCTGCTCTATGACAGCAGCTGAAATACATGTGGTGATAGTCATTCAAATCAACCTCTTGAAAAGCTCCACACCCCAGTGCAAGATATCCTCCTCCAAACCCATCTGTTAGCTGCTGAGCACCCACCATTTCCCTCGTAATTGTGTCCCCAATGACACCAACCTCTCTGCAACATTTGAGTTCTGCTGATATTGCTCTCAGAGAACTGGTTGGGGCTTTAGCAATCAGGATCTGGTCCCTACAGAAATGTATCCAAGGAGCGGTGATGAGAAATGGCATCTCTGTCTCTAGGCCCTTCACTTGTGGAAATCCTCCAAGCGTCATTCCTCTCCTCTGGTCAGCAACCACATGCAGCAGCCTGAGGAGTTAAATGCCAGCTTCTCACATTTCTTGTTATGTGAGAAACTAAAAATTAACTATCCTTCACCACTTATGGTAAGCATCACAACCAAAATGGGCCAACATGTGGGCAAGGTTAGATCTCAACCAAAAAAAAAAATAAATGTGACTAACACTAACTTAAAACTTAAACAAAGGTGGAAGCAGTGGGACAGTATCTGGAAGCTCCTAGCTGTACTGTCCTCCCCTTTTATAAAGGGCACGTGACTAATTCACACTGTAAAAGTAATCCTATATTTCTCACTCGATGCTGACCTTTGTCCACAAGAAATGCCTTGGAACTGCCCTGACTGTAAGTTTCAATGCTGAACTCCAAATTAACATGGCTGCAGTACTTTTCACCCAAGAGTACCTCTCATCTTCCCACTAGCTTCCTATGGCACCTTGAATATAAAGGCACTCAGTGGTGTGATAAGCATCATTCCCTTGTTCAGTAAACAATCTTCTTTTCTTGTCACCCAGCATTTTGTTGCACTACCGGATTTGGAAACACAAGCCAAGACACTCTAACAACCTGGTTACAGCACAAAACTAGCAAATCCCAACCAATACGCTTGTCATCAATGCAACATTTCAGGGAAAGCTAAACTCCTAACCTCTCCTGCTCAGGCATGAAATTACTGACTGAAAACCTCTGGTTCACCTTTTTCACCCACAGTGAACATTTCACTAGCCTATGGCAATCCAACAGCCTTAGTGTACAAGCCATGACAGTGATTTATTTCAAGATACATTTCCCAACCACACAAGCTTTCTTGGGCTTCTGATCAACATTAATAAAAGACTCAGAGGAGTCAGCAGCACACAGCGGAGAGGCCAAAAGACATTACAACAGACCCTTCATGATGATAACGAGGCCTCTTGAACAGAGTGGAGAATCCCAGCATCTGGGCTTCTATTCCAGCCAAGGGACTAGCAAATACTGCTATAAAGGGCTTGAATACAACAGACAATTGCTTGAATACAACTATTGTCTTTGACACTGTCAAGTAAAATGACTCCCTGGAGCCAGCTGACTTGCATGAACAAAGTTAACACAGGGTCAGGAGACATTTTCTCTAGATCTTCCTCTTTACAACAGATCAGCTGGACCACAAAAAGAAAATTGGCTAATAAAAGAAAATAGGCGTATATCATACAGTCAATGCCAAGCAATTTCCCCCCCTCAAGTTTCTAAATGGAATTCGAATTTTAGTTTCATCTCCTTAACATACATCTTCCAAAACTGTTCACTTGTGCAGAGTGCAAAACAGCGTAACCACCACACGTGCCCTCTACTGGCCACCTGCACATGTTCAAGCCCACAGTACCTCTGCCCACGTAAACCTCACGGAAGAAGGAGTCACCACGAGCAAGGGCCATTCCTTTCGGTAATAAGCAGCAATGCAGATCGCCTGGATGGTCTTGCCCAAGCCCATGTCATCCGCAAGAAGTAAACGTCCATTTCTTAAAATTGCAAAACTGGGGAAAAATAGAGAGGAGAAATAAGTAGGAGTCGAGAAATGGGTTACTATCTGTCCTAGCAGCCGAGACGAGCACAACTCATCATCACCAAGTCTATAACAGGGATCACCTAGAAGAGATCTGGGTTCTTCAGTAAAGCTGGATCTCCTCCCTTAGCCTTAAAATAAGTGAGCAACTCTGACAAATCTCTCAAAGCTTGGAAGTTCCTGAATATAGTGGTTCAGCCCAGTCCTTAGAGACTTTGATTTCATACGAGGAGTAGTCTCAAGACTTTACAATTATTTAAAGCACATTCTTTCCATGATATTACTCACATTCTATACCAGTGTTCATCCTGGCTAAGCTAAGAAAATATTATTAATAACAATACCACTTTAACACCAGTAAGTACAGACTTTCCTGGATTGCATCTTGAAGTCAACAACTAATGACTGTACATGACGGGGACAGAGACATTTGAAAGTTTATCTCTATATGTAATCAGTCATTTTAAATCTTTCAGGGACTGGGTCCCATTTCCTGGCACTTTCCCATGCGTAGTTAATACTTAAAAAACAACAACAAAACAGATGTACTTGGGGAAAAAAAAAATAAATGACCATACAACATAAAAAAAAATAATCATATGACAATTAGGCACATACTGAATCACAACAAGGAGATCAGAGATGTATCACTCAAATAATTTTATGAGACTAGCAAAATGCTACTTTCCTCCTGACTCATGATGAAGAATTCTAACTAGAAACAGAATAGATGTGTCACTCAAAAAAAAAACAAACCCAAAACAAAAAACCCACAAAAAAACACCCCAACAAAACAAAGCATACCAAACAACCAAGAGCCCAGAGTGCCAGAATGTAACAGTCCAAGACTCTGGAGAAACATGGAAGAGAACGCAGCCTGGGGACCAATCTAAAATACCCAACTGTATGCAATTCTATTCTATTAACAGCATGCAAAAAGGACATACTTCACACCTTCCCGCTGAAAGGGCATGAGGCTCGTCACAATTTTGGAGTCCACTACCGAAAGGTCAGCATCAGGAATGTCTGTCTGTGATGTAGATCTCTGTATTTGTGCAGCAAAGGTTTGTATTACTGCTTCAGGCAGTGGTTCCACTTCTACTGACACAAGGCTTTGTAACACTTCCACTGCAAAGAACAGAGCAATTTATTATCAGAAGGGGCAATATACACACAACTTACATTATGGATGTCAGGGCACAACCCTCGACCTCATCAAGAATATTATTTCCTATCCTGAAACAGCTCAAGAAAGCACTGCATCATGCACGGGTGTTGGCCTGGTCTCTTCTCTGATGCCTATTTCAGAACCATACGATGAATCACATCTCCTCCCCTTGTATTTAGACTTGGTTATAAAAAACTGAACATCTGATGCCATCATTCAGAGATGATCTCTACTAATACAGCTGGTGCTAGATTATTCACACTGAGGGCAGCTTAGGGCACACTCTACTCAGAAATAAAAGTATGGATTTGAACAAAAGAGCTCTGGAAGCCTAGAAGGCAGAGGCATCTTTATCTTGACCTTGGCATTCTGCATTAAACAAGTCTGAGGTCTCCACCATCTCTGAGTGATCAGGAGTGACCCGAGACACAGTGACCTAAAGAAGATTATATACATCTTTGGGTTTGAAAACTCGCTTCCTCCTCCTGTTCCCCAAATTCACACAGGTTTGGCTCTGCCTCCACTTTATCACTTCTTGTTTACTGTGTTTGGATAAGAAAACAGGAAGCACCTCAAGATTTGGAGAAACTGCTCTTGCACCACCATCAGCCACGCTCTGACAGTCATCCTTCAGGGACACGGTACCAACAGCAACTCTCCACTCAGCTAGTCTCCACTGCTGTTCTCCTGGGCAGAAATAGCTTGCAGGCCAGAACCAGCCTCAGGCAGCCACTTGAGTCCCTCACCACTACTGTTGTTTCACCCATGGATCCTCTCAACTTTACAGGCAGCTTAAAACCTTCCCAGTCGAACTAAAGGGATCCCTAGCCTCTGTTATGCAAAGACTTTGGAGTGTTCACCTTTTCAATCCATTAACCACAACAAGCAGAGTCAGGGCAATTCTCCTCCTAGACAATCATATTTCAGTCCCTTCCAGTAGCCTCTCTATCCCATCCCAAAAAGATAAAAGTATTCCTTCTAAGTCCACCACTAAGTTTATATGAAAAGAAATACCAGTTTAAAACACGCAGTGAGCTGGGACCAGGAAAACACGTTTAGTAATCAATCTTTGACCACTGACGGAGAAGCAAAAGACAACTCTATACTAGGAATACAAGAACACAATGCATGTGCACAGATCCTTCGTTGCAAGAAGCATTTTTTTTTTATTTATTGGTTGGTTTGTATATGAAGTCAGGAAGATATAAAACAACTCAAAAAATTACCACAGCTATGCAAACTGAAATAAGAACTCACTATACCAGCAGTAAACGCACCTCCAGAATTCAGTTAGGTATTTTCATTTCAGTTATCTCCAAGAGGAAAGCAGCAGAATGGACACCTGCCATATGAAGGGGGAAAGCAATTCCAAGAAATATACATATGAAAAGATTTCCATTTGTGGTTGGGCAATGACCAAACTTTTTAAACTCTCCAGTTTAATTTATACTTCTTCAATAGCAGGAACTCTCTCCACTCGAAGTACAGCACAAGCTTGTTATTACACTCACAGACTGAGATATGTGTTAGCATAATTGCTACAATTTGCTCACTGATAATTCTGTTGCTATTGTTCTGTACATGAGCTGGGAGAGTGATTAAGATATATCTGCCACCAGCATGATTCATCCAACAGACATTTTTTACTGAAGTGACCTTTATATAAAGATGACTGAGCAACTAGGCAAAGAGACATTAACCTCTACGAACAGTTCCCAGCTAACAGATATCTCTGCTGGAAATGGCAACCAGCCTTTTAAAATTCTTTTTTTTTTTTATTTATTTTATTTTATTTTGACATAGGTAATTGAACAGGCACAAAGTGAATGCTGTTCCTCAAAAAGGCACATGCTAGAAGCCTCAAATGCCCTCACAAATTACACCCTGCAAGAACATTTATGGAGAAATTTGTTTTTGCTTTCCTTAAATCTGTGGGATTCTGAATACTTCATGTGACATATACAATTGCCAGTCAGCACAGCCGAGAGAATGACAGACTGGGAGATGATGTGTTTGCTCAGACTGCCGAGCACATGCTACAGGATCCGGCCCTTCGTGTGTACAAAAGGCCCTTTTAACAAATTGAGAGAGATCATCAGCTTTCATTGAAATTGGGGCCTGTCAACATCCCAGTCCTGGAGTTTCATAAGAGTCTCCCCTAAGACACGCTCGCCTGCTTTCATGATCTGGCATTCCTACAAGGCCCCACAACATGGCTTTCAGCCCTACAACCATTACTAATGTTATTGAGACGCACATCATAGGAGTATGCAGATACTCAATTATTAAACATGCTTTGGTATCCCATGGAAGCAGGAGTCCATGCTGGAGAAAAATCTACTCTGAGCAACAGCATTTCAGCTCTGAAACACTCAGTCACGCTTTCTAAGGATTTGTGTAGAGCACCTTGCTTATTATCTTTCCGAAGCTCACCGCCATCAAGTTCCACAGCCACACACCCTCACACGAGTACCAAGGCAAACACAGCAGGCCAACTGGGATGATAAATAATAATTATAATACTTAGGACTTGCATAACGCTATTCGTTTCAAAGCACTCTATAAATTTAACTAAACATAAAAAACTAAGAAACAGATGTGTTAGGGGCATGCTGCTGAGACTGGATTATTCTGCAAAGAGGCATTCATTTTTTAAGAAAAAAACACAAAACACAACAAACCACAGTTCTACATTTCAGTTCAGTGAGTCACAGTTTCACCAGCATTACACAGATGCATAAAGGCAGGGGTCTACTTGTCAACTTTTACCAAGAAACGTTGTAGCGACACTATGAGCATAGATTCCACTTGCAAGGGAAAACATGATGCTCTCAAAAAAGATTTTTTTTGCTAAGCTTTCTTTTAAGCATCCATCAACCAACACCAAAGCATTTTAGTAGAGTACGAAATTCTGCTTCAAGAATGCTTCTGCTTGAAGCAGATCTGCATGCTTCTGCAAAAGAGACAAACAGTTCTTGTTTGCCTCACAATAATAACTCAGATATGGAAGCAACCTGAATTCTAACCTGCCTCGTAGATCAATTAAAAACTTAACAGTTGTGTGCTGCCTGCAAAGCCACTATTACTAGCAGCAACATGTAAGGCTGAACACAATCAGCTAGATAGTCACCACCTAGACTGTAACTGTGGATGAACTGGTTGCTACAGAAATCATCAGTTCACTTGAAAACCTAGTGCTCTGACCTGTAAAACAATATTTGCTGGGTGTGAAATGAAATAGCACAACACCGTGCATACTACTTAAAGAGTCAGAAGTGAAACAGCCTGATTAGCTGTTTGTTTTCTAAGCAAGGGGTGGCTGTGCCAGTTTACAAATTGATATACACACAAAATGAAGCCAGATAGGCTGGCACTAAGGGGAACACAGCTAAAAAGAGTCAGTAAGACAGAATTTTTCTAAGGACAGGAAGGCCTGGCAGCCACCATGCTAACCTCTTCAAATCTGGAAAGTGGGACAAAGGAATCCATTCTCTTGCAACTCCTTAGTTCAAGTAGAGCTGCTGTATGTTATAAGCAATAAAAACAACTTGGTGATAGTAAGTACATTCATGCACTCTAAGAAACAGTACAGAAACTCAGTGCAGAATCTGACAAAAGAGAGCCGCCCTCCCAATGGGCCCCTAAAGGACTGCCATGAATAACACACATTTATTAAATTTTAAGCCTGGGCAAACAGTGTAAATGTCTGACAAAACAGGAAGACACCTGCTTCGCGGTTCGTTAGCAGCTTATCTCCCAGAGTGAAAAGGCTTAGCCCAAGAAATGAAGTTAGAATTCATTTGCCTCCCCAGAAAACAACCCTAGCCAGGAAAACACAGCTACTCACTTAGTTTGGGATAGTCTTCCAGCAGGAAATTCCACTTTCTGGTGTTCATATCTGCAATAGTCAAAACAAGCACTGTCACAAGTCTCTTAAAACAGACTGAATTCTCTGTCTGTAAGAATGGCTATCCATCCATATCTTCTGCATTTCAGAACTGCTTTAAAAGAACTCTTACCTTGTCCAGCAACCAATCCTCTGCTTCCATGTTAAGCAAACAGTTTGAAGAAGACTTATGAGCACACATCTAGAAGGCGTGGTATCACCGGAGCAAGTAAAGGTCAGCTCCCCTAATGAATCATTGTAGTGAACTCACCTGCTCAAGGATTTTGGCAATCACTTTCTCTCCACTGCAAGAAGGGATGAAGAACTTGCATGAAGGTTCCTATTTGTTAACCAACAAGCTCTGACTTCAGTCAGTATCACAATCACTTTCATTCCTATCTCTGTACCCGGCAGATGATATGCTCAGGATGGTACAGAGGAAATTCCCCAATTTATCAATACCCAAAATGTCACATGAATGCCAGACTGGTCTGGAAGTTTTATCCTTGGGTAACACCTATCGACTGCTTCCAGGGAAAGTTAGAGTGAATGCAGAGCCAGCTGAAGACACAATGAGTCAGGTGGGGCCCTGCCCTAAGAAAAAGAGCTCCAGGATTTGTTCCCCATGCTGTCACCAACCTGCTGTGACACTGTGCAGGTCCCCTCATCACTCTGTGCCTCATTCCCCACATTACAAGAGAGAAAAACTGGTATTTACCATGGGAATCTGAATGCCAACATAAAAAGTGCTCGTCAGTTCCACTTGCCTCAAAAACATCTCAATCCACTCAGGCAGTTGCAGTTATGATACACCACAGTAAACCAGGAGAGATACGAGAATGTCCAACTGCATTTGATAATAAAGACAAGAACTTATGCATGGCCTCCATACTGCTGGCAAATTATAAGCACATCCCACCTCGACGGTAAAAGTAATCATGCTGAGTCCTGAAATATCACCTTGGCTAACAGGAGCAGAAGAGGGCATGTTCTGACATGGAATAAAGAGCAGGACACAGATACGGCACTATACCAGAACTACAGCTCTCAAGATCTTCACCAAAGTACATCCTCTCATGCTATTTTAGAGGGATGTACTCTCACAATTTCTCTCCTCTGAGCATTCACAGCACTCCAAGCGAAATAATCATAGACTCACCATAATTTCTGGAATTCATCTGTTTGAACACTCCAATCACTTCTGCAGAATACCCAATATCAACCTCAAACCGCAAGCGAGAGATCAGCACGCACTTCCCTTTGACAAGGGCTGAGGGTTTCTTCCAGCTCTTACACATCTTCAAGAGGGATTTCACATCAACTCTACCGCCAACAAAATGAGAGCCTGATGCCAAGCCAACTGCATTTTCTCCTTCCAGTGGTGCCAGAATTACTGATGAAATTTGATTTGCTGCTTCCACTAGGGAAAAAAGCATGAGATACAGAGAAAAGAATTAGTAACAAAGAACATGGATAAACATGGATGCTTTGGGAAGAGAAGGGACAGAGGATGACAAACAAACCATGCACCTTCAAGTTTAAAAGGAACGATGATTCCCTGCTTTCACTCACAGGAACAAAGAATAGAGGGATGGCCTGGAGGAGCAGGTTGGTGGGATTTTGCACAGAGAATACAGCAAGGGCAGAGGGAATACATGACAGTAGCTGAACAAAGGGCCTGTCCAGCATTGTCACTGCATAAGGCTCCCTCTCAGCAATCCCAAAACGTGGATCACTAGGCCAGGGCAGGTAATCTGCAGAACCACATTCAGCAGTGAATTGCACAGTCACACAGCGCTTTCACTTACAAAGTTGCAGGGACAGGGGCATGGTGATCAATACCATGCGCCTGAAAAGACAGGAAGGTACTTCTGCAAACAGCAAAGGAGAAAGATCTAAAAATATTTGCCTCCTGCCTCACGTCAATGTCTGATATGCAACCTCATCTAAGAGGAACACTGCGTATTCACAAAACTGTAGGAAGGGTATCAGGAAGGAATCTAGTCCAAACCCCTAAATCTCCTTTGTTACAATTTAAGTCCCTCACCCTTCATTCTACTGTGTCTTACAGTTAGACTTGTACTTCCCCCCAGCCATCTGCACTCCTATCATACTAATCACCAGCAACCACCTCTGTCATGATGCCAGGGCACGGGGAGAGAAGGGACACGGCATTTTACAGTTGTTAGCCTGAGACCACAGCTACCCACACTAATAAACGTTCCACTTTTCCCTGTATGTTTCTGCTAATCTATATCCATATGTTATTTTTATCACTGTAGCTGAACCGTGATGGTTAAGGAACAAGAACCATTTTTTCTTGCATTTTTACAGCACCAAAACAATGAATTTCATCCCCAAGACTCCAACTCATGGGTTCTACAGTAACACAAGGATTCACCAGCATCTCCAGAGTCCATTAGACTCAAGAGCAGGGGACCACTAAGCACATTCTGCCTCCAGGTATTTGTAAAGAGGCAACCTCCCCTATCCAGTAGCTGTTCAGAGTAAGTCCAGCTGAATCTAGTCTTTTGAGGGTTAAGCTGCACATCGTGATCCACTCTGCTTCTTTGTAAATAGTCCAGCTCACTGATACACAAGAAGAACTTAAACAAATTTAGTTCAGTGGTAGAGATTTGAAAAGGGAAAATAAGAGAAAAAAGAAACAAATTCAGACACTTTTTCCCTAACCAGTTAGTAAGCCATTGCATTTCGTCCACCTTTATTATAAAATAAGTGACTTCCAGAATAAAGCCAAGCATTTGAGTCTACCACCCCAAAGAAAAAGTTTAAGGGCATCAAGTGAAAGTAATTTTTGAAGTAGAGGACTAGAAAACCACCAATTTAGACTTTCTCCTCCCAATGCATCAAGCAAAAGAGTTTAGATGTTGCTGTTCTAGCACTGCATAGTTAAGAGCTCATCTCTACAACTAATACTGAAAGAAAGTGAAAAAAATCCACCATACTTTACTCTTCTATTTCAATATCTGTTTCTAAGCTTGACTGCATGTTTAATTTATAGTATAAAGAAAGAAATGTGATACAGGACAACATTACTCAGAAGAATAAAATTAACAGTTGGAAGTTTTAAAAGAATTGTTTTTACACTTACAAGACTTCAAACCAGTGCCCTTTTCAGTCCGTTCCCTTTTCTCAGAGTACTTTTTTTCCCCTCTTATAGTTGTCTAATGTTGATCACATATTGTCTTCCCTTGTCAACAGGAACTTTCCACAGAGAACTCATATTTGATAGCTTTAAGGAAAAAAGGCTGATTTCTAAAAGACATCCTCTTCATTTGCAAGCTCCTTGGTGCAGAGACTCTGCTCTCATCTGTACTTGATACACTTCAAGCAACCCAGCAGCATTTAAATTATAAATGTGTGGCAACCCACATGGGAAGTTAAAATACCAGCACTCAACTGTGGGTTTTTCGAAGTGCTCAACACAGGCCTAATTCTGTTCCCACTGAAATCAATAGTGATTTATCACTCGCTTCAATACAATGTGCTTCTGAAAAGCTTACTTGAAGCATTTGCCTCTATCATCTCTCAATCTTTTCAGAACAAAATGACAGGAGAGAAAAAAAAGATAAAGCCACCTTTGTTATGCCAAAAAAAGGTAAATCCATTTTCAGTCTCACTCAAAGCCCTAGAGAATTATCCTTTTTCCTTTTCTGACACCCAAAATTAACAGGAATTTAAAAAAAAAAAAGAAGAGCTGTGTAAAAAGAAAATACATGAATGGACCTAGATATTAAGTATTAGCCAGTGGAACATACTCGGTTCTCAATATAGACTCATACAAAGTACCTACACAGCAGATATAAGTTAAATCTATTTAGATTACATGAAAAATTAAATTATTTCTAATCAACAACGAAGTGTCAGAAAAACATTATGAGCTAGACGGCTAAAAGATGGGCATTATGTTTGAGCAGCACTTTTATTACTCCAGATAACAACAAAGCTAAATAATAATTACAGAAGGTAGGAGAAAGGAGTCAAGATTTGGATTATTTTTTATCATTCAACAAGCCATTTACTTACTGAAACTCCAGTAATCTTCCAGGCTGAAATTCCATTTTTTCATAGCAGGATCTAAAATAGGGCAGAATACGAATCATGTGGGGTGGAAAGAAGTGCCGTTGTGAAATGTTCATGCGAGATAAGAGAGAATTCAATCTACTCATACAAACTTTTCGACACACAGCTGAAAAACAGTATGCCTGAGATTACACGTACGTGACACCAAAAAAGCCATAGGGCACATCAATACTAAGACAAGAAGAATGCAGCAGCATTCACAGGGAGCAGCAGCACACAGAGGGGAAACAAAAGTAGACTATAACAAATAAAGGCAGGGAGAAAAGATCAGAAGCAAGCCAAAAGGTGGAGACTCTACTGCTCTCAGTAACCCAGTTAACTGAATCAGCTCATCAACTCTGATCTACAGCTGAAGTGACCCATTTTCCCATACCAATTTATGAAAAACTTCTCTTCCTTCACTCCCAAAAGACTCTGACCAGCTGTCATCACTAAACTTCTCAAAGCACTGCCCATAAAGCAGGGCTTCTGATTCCTTGGCTAAATCCAAGCTCAAGCTATTTATGCCCAGAATTTATTTCCAATTTCAGCTGTCTTTTCTCTTCCAATCCCCCATTAATACCATCCATTCCACCCCAGCAATAGCTGCACTGCTAAGAGCATATAGCAACTACACTTCCAGCAGATACTGAAGCTTCAATCCAACATAAACCTGAGATAATAGCAAACAATCAATTCTTACCATAGCTTTTGCTTGGTATCTTCTTAAACACGGCAATGAGTTCAGCATTATACCCTATTTCGACCTGGAACCGGTCTTCCCCATATTTCACACATTTTCCATTTGTAACACTGTTTGCTTTCTTGCAAACGGCAGCTTCAAAGGCAGAGCCCGCACCAGCAGAGCTGGTCAGCTTCTGCATCCTACCACTGGCCTGAGAGGCATCACTTCCCCCTTCTCTTTCCGTTGGTCTGCTTGTGTTTATCAGCATTTCTGAATCACTCCGAGCGGCGCTGCTTGGTGGTGAAACGTGTTTTATGGCAGATTTGTTCAGACTCTGTAAATCTTTACTACTGTCTGGGTGCCCGTTATCAATTAATCTAGGATGGGATGGTTCTGTAGGGTTTTTGAAAGCTGGGTAGCATTTGGGCTGCTGGAATGTACCAAGATTAATTAAAGCTTGTTGTCCATGTTCCTGACCACCAGCATTCAAGTAATGTTTATGAGAATAACTCAGAGGATTTGAGATCGTTGTCGGGAAGTGCTTAATGCCACTTGCATGTTCCGAGTCCTCTGAACAATTCTTTTGTTGCTCTCCATGTGAATCAGCCATCTGTTGGTTTGCAGTGTAATGACTATAATCTTTCCGCAGATAGCTCTTCTGCTCCGCAGGACTGTTTGGATTCTGTTGGTGCTGGCTAACAAACCTAACATGATTGTTTTCTTCCTTCAAGTTTCCCTGATTAACTGGACTCTGTCCTTTCACCTGAGGTCCAGCGACCCCCACCTGCCCACCTCTCTGGGCTGCTAGCCTCTCTGCTCTCCTGGCCAAAGCCTTCTGACGGTTCTCTTCGATTCTTCTCTTTTGTTCCTCTGTAAGGCCTGATGACATCTTCAACAATTCAAACAATAAATCCGAATCAAAACTGCATTGGGAATTAATCACAGAGGCACCTGCTTCTTTAAACGAATGGAGATCAGTCTAAAAAAAAAACCAAACAAAACAAACAAAAGCAAAAACAGACAGGAAGTTTCAACTCTGTTCCTCCCCCTCCCCAAAACAGTTATTGTATTGATAACTCAGTATTATTAGTGATTGAATATTACTGTAACTGATCCTACACAAAAACCTAGTTGCACAGCAAACCTGTCAAATCAACCCTGAGCCATTATCAACAAGCAGATGCTGACAACCACTGCTGAGACTTTGCATGCTAGTTCAACATAGGTAAAACATATGGAAGAATAAGAAAACTCCCATTCCACTACAGTTCTGAGCGTTCTTCTCTGCAAATCCCAGTAGAACTGATAAAATAGCCAAGCACAAAGATGCCCTGCACTACACAGCCAGCCCTTGCAAAGGCAAATGCAGGTAAAGCAATACATCTCTTGCAGAGTCTTGTGTGGAAGTACTTCATACTTCTGGTACCTAACAGCAAAGATGGGATAACACTCCATCTTTCCTGATCACCTTCCAGTTGTCAGGCATCTCACAGCATGTAGCAGATACTCAATCCCAAAGGGCAGAGTCAGCTCCTGCCTTGAGAAAGGTCCACTCACATGTCAAGGGCCTTCTGATGAGGGCGAGGTGCTGGCTCCCACCACACCTCCCAAGAGCTGGCCTCAATCCATCTGCTCCCAGCCTCATGCCTCGGGGGCTCCCCACCTCGACCGGCACTCGGGGACCGGCACTCCGGGACGTTCCTCACCGCCTTGTAAGAAGTGAGGCTCACTCCCTGCCCCACTCCTCTCTCAAGCACCACGCTCCCCTGTCCCAAACCCTGCAGGCGGGGGCCCTCAGCCGTGCGCAAGCACTACCCACCGCGGCCCAGCACTACCGCGACCCACTGGGGCCCAGGGGCC